AAAAAAAAAAAAAAAAAAACTAAAAATCTCTAATATGCAATACTTAAGGAGAGTCAGAAGATGTCTTCATGTAAAACATAATATGCATATTGAAAGGAATATTAATCAATGCAAAAAAAGATTCAACTTCAGAGAAACATGTAAACACAGAGCTGCCACAAATAAAGAGCCATGAATGAGCCTTGACTATAAATATAAATAATAAATTAATATTTGTAATATAAGGAAGGAAAAGTCAATAAATGTTCTTGCCAATAATTAGAAGGTGTGAAAACTATTTCAGATACATAGCCATAATTTCTTCAATGTAACAAAATAAACTAAGCAAATTAAAAGGTTAAATCTTTTTGAAACTAGAATCCATGGGGCACTGGGTGGCTATAGGCCCGGTTAAGCCGTCCGGGGACTTCAGCCAGGTCATCATCTCAAGGTCCGTGAGGCAGTTCGAGTTCCTGCCAGCCAGGCTCTGGGCTGATGGTCTGGGGAGCCTGGAGCCTGTTTCCATCTCATAGTCTCCTCTCTCTCTGACCTCCCTGTTCATGCTCTGTCTCTCTGTCCCAAAAATAAATAAACGTTGAAAAAAAAAATTTTTTTTAAAAGAAAAAAAGAAACTAGAACTACATAAAAACTAACAAAATATAATAATAATCATATTGGCGAAAGGATGATAACCTTCTTCTGTTTCCCGAATTAGAAAACACCAGAAGGAAAATTTACAATTTGAGCACACAGAACTTGAAAACCTGAGGCAATGAAAAATCATATGTCTGCCGACCAAGAAAGTTATTTGCATCAAATGTGTCAGATCATATACCCATTGTATACGAAGAGGTTACTCAACTTTATAAGTGATTCTGGCTTTTCATGTGTGTGTGTGAAAAGCAACATAAAAATGTGTACAAGTTATAGGTCTCTGCTAAGCAAGAAAACAGGATGATAAGGAGAAGTCAGAACAAGAAGTCAGAAGACCATTTTGGAGTTCTGCATGGAGGGGCTCTTGACTCAAAGGGTGGAGAAATAATCTCAAATGTATAAAATATACATAATAAGAATCTATCAAAGAGAAATGTATCACCTGGTCATCTTTTAGAACAAGGGTTAGTCTTCAAAATGAAAAAGGATTTTATTCATAAGCTGAATGATTCATTTCACTGTGGCTTTTTCAAACCGGACATGAGTGAAGGCAAACCATCATTCACACCTGGAAAGATAAATCACTAACTTTTCATAGGACTATTCTTCAGTTTGAACCCACTTTGCTCTAAGTATTTTTCTAGTCTAACCCATTTGATTGGGTCAATGTAGTTTCATTCTAGTTTTTACCAGGTCATTAAATTATGGCAAGATGTTCTCATAGAAGAAACCAATTACCCCCAAATTTAAAAAAAAAGCTTCCATAATCATCCTTTTAGTTAAAACTTTTAGAAGTCCTAAATTACATATCACTAACTAAAGACTTACCTTGAGAATCACCTTTGTAAAGGTGCTAAATGCCAATTCCTTCCCAAATTGCTTTTAAACATTCTATAAAATACCCATCAAAATACTAAAAGAATTTTTCAGGGAATTTGACAAAGCAATTCTAACATTCATATGGATATGTAAATTGTTTAAAAGAGTAAAATGACTTAAAAAAAAAAAAGAATAAAGCATAGCGGACTTGCCCTATCAGATATCAAGATATATTACAAAACTATAATAATGAAGCAGAGTGGCATTTACCAGGAACAGGAGAAGTAGGTCAATGACACTAAATAAAATAAAATAAAATAAAATAAAATAAAATAAAATAAAATAAAATAAGATAAAATAGCTTAGAAACACAGCCATAGACATATGGGAATCTGTTATGTAACAGAGAAGATACCAGCAATGGCTAGGATAGACTGCTCAGTAACTGACATTGAGACATTTCATTCTCTTTATGAAAAAAATCAAACTAGGTCCTAGTTAGGTGCAAAAATTACAAGTTTCAACCATTTTTAATTTCTGGATAGTGTGAAATAGATGTTTTCCCAGTATCATCCACATTAGTTATCTCTAAAGATTGTGAGGTTGGGAAAATATTGCCAGGGAGAGGTTCTGGAGAATAAAGTAGGAAACAGAAGGAGTAAATGAAGCCTTCCACTTCTTTTCAATATATTCTTGGGTTTTCCTTTCAATGTCAGCAAATTTGAAATAATTACTAAAAAGTAAAAATAATTTGAGGAAAGATAAAAGAGGTTAGCCAAATGGAAACTCTTCATCAGTGTTATGAACTGAACTGTATCCCCCAAAATTCATAGGTTGAAGCCCTAATCCCCAATGTGACTGTATTTGGAGATAGGACCTATAAGGCAGTACTAGTTTAAATGACGTCATAAGATAAATGTGAGACAGAAAACTGTCAAAACCTAGAGGTGAAAACAGGCAACAATCTCTTTGACCTCAGCCACAGCACTTTCCTGCTCGACATGTCTCTAAAGGCAAGGGAAATAAAAGCAAAAATGAAGTACTGGGACCTCATCAAGATAAAAAAAAAACTTCTACACTGTAAAGGAAAAGAATCAACAAAACAGAAAGGCAACTGACGGAATGGGAGAAGATATCTGCAAATGACATATCGAATAAAGGGCCAGTATGCAAAATCTATAAAAAACCTACCAAACTCAACACTTGAAAAACGAATAATCCAGTGAAGAAAAGGGCAGAAAACATGAATAGACACTTTTCCAAAGAAGACATCCAGATGGCCAACAGACACATGAAAAGATGTTCAACATCACTCATCATCAGGGAAATACAAATCAAAACCACAATGAGATACCACCCCACAACTGTCAGAATGGCTAACATTAACAACTCAGGCAATGACAGATGTTGGCGAGGATGTGGAGAAAGGGGAACCCTTTGCACTGTTGGTGGGAATACAAACTGGTGCAGCTGCTTTGGAAAACAGTGTGGAGGTTCCTCAAAAAATTAAAAATAGAATTACCCTATGACCCAGCAATAGCATTACTAGATATTTATCCAAAGGATACAGGAGTGCTGTTTCAAAAGGGCACATGCACCTCAATGTTTATAGCACCACTGTCAACAATAGTGAAATTATGGAAAGAGCCCAAATATCCATCAACTGATGAATGGATAAAGAAGATGAGGTTTATATATACAATGAAATACTACTTGGCAGTGAGAAAGAATGAAATCCTGCCATTTGCAGCGACATGGATGGAACTGGAGGGTATTATGCTAAGTGAAATAAGTCAGAGAAAGACAGATATCCTATGTTTTCACTCATATGTGAAACTTGAGAAGCT